TGAGGGGGGATAGACTCTGTGGAGGGAGAGGGTGAAAGGAGAGAGATGCCCTCTCTTTCAGTTTTTTCCTCATTTCCTTTTTTTCCTATATTTAATTTTTTTTCTATATTTCCATTTTCTGGATGGGATTTGAGCAGCCTGGTCCAGTGGAAGATGTCTCTGCCCATGGTAGGAGGTTGGACGAAATGAGCTTTAAGGTCCTTTCCAACCCAAACCATTCCAGGATTCCATGACTCTGTGATTTTGGTTATTTCTCTGTTGGGTGCCAGCATAATTTTCTAGCTCTAGATAACACCTATTTAATTCTTATATTTTAGTGCTGGATAAAGAGAGAGTTTGACAGAGAGCAACCTTCAGAAGGAATGGGACAGCATTGCCAGAAATGGGAGTCCTCTGATACATTAACTTATGCAGGCACAGGTCAGGCAGGGCATTACTAGAACAGTGTTGGAATTAATTCCGGCGTCCCACACGGAAAGTGGGAAGGTGACACATGCTGGGGCCTCTCGGGGCTTCAGGGAGAATTTCTTACCATTTATTTCAGTGTCAAACTTCCCCACATAGGGAATGAAATGTTAAAATAGCTCGTCAGGTGAGGATGGGGCTTTTTTCATCTGTCGCCAGTGGCAGGTTGGGGCAGCAAATAAATAAACAAACCAGAACTGAGGGGTTTGTGTGTCTAGTTTGAAGTGGGGAGGGGAACTGAGAAAAAGCCTCATAACTTCAATCCCTGCTGGAATCTGAATAGCACAGGTTCTATTATTTTTTTATTTACTACAGGCACTGAGCTTTATTAACCCTCTGCCTGCCCAAGGGGTGGCACAGGCGAAGCGGTTCCAACATGCACATTTAATTTTAGCTGGCGAAGGGAATTTGGCAAAGTCCAGTGGCACAGGCATGTCTTGCTCTCTGAGTGGGTTTAAGTGTTGTTTTCTTCAGTGTCTCAAGGTGGAAAGTCCTGAGGTGGGGATATATCTGGTCATAGGTTGATGTTTCTTCACATCTTTGGTGAGTTTATATTAAACACGTGTTGCCTGATATCTTGTTTTTTCCATATGGAAAAGGTGAAGTAAATTCCAGCACTGGCCAGCCCAGGTGTTGGAACAGGCAAGAAGGATAGTCCTGGGAGCAGCCATCCCCAGGGAAAGTGGGAATGTCAGGTTTATAGGCAGCCAGGCTCCATCCAAATCCTGGATCATGCTGCCAAACCCCTCCAGTCAGTCACAGATGCAAACCTTTAACTGGTCCTGCACAAGGGAAGAGAAGGAATTCTGTGTACCCTGGGAAGGAGGGAGCTGATCCACAGTGTGAAAGCAGAGCACTGCTGCCTCTTGGATTCCTTACCCCAGTTCTAATCTCCTGCTGCTGAGTTGCATCTTAGCGTGAACTGCAGTGGGTCCAATCCTGGCTCTGTGTGGACAGGGATGACAGACCTCAGCTCACTGCTGACAAAGGGCACACTGACATCTTGGGTGGGAGTGTGGGGGAATAACCAAGGCTTGGAGACTCCACAGGTCCCTTACATTTCTTCTGGAGGGTACAATGTGGGTGATGTGCTGTTGAGGGACTGGCCTCAGCTTGGATATCTCCTTCTGGAGGGAGCAGCGTCTTCTCAAGACTTGGTACCTCACATTCATTAAAATTCAAATATTGTGAGTCCAGAAGACTCACTGTGGCACCCACATGCATTGTGGGACTATTCCTGATGCAAGGCATCCTCCTGGTAAAACCAAAACACTGTTGTGTCACCCACCTGGTCCATGGCCTGACCTGGACAAACCATGTCCCTTTACTTGCACAAGACTGGTGTGATCAGCACTGCCAGACTCACCTGACTCGATGTAGGATGTTGAGTGCTTGTAGAGCTGCAGACACTTGGTAATCTTTACTGAATTCAGATCTTTATTCCATTTTCCATGCCCTTAAATGATTAAAAATGTTTGGGCTTTCTTGCCTGATGTTTATGGGATGCTCATTGCTGTTATGTCAAGGCAGACTTGAAATGTGAACACCGAGCTTTGCACATCTTCAGCTATTACATCCCTGAATATTTCTGCTCCAAAACCTCCCTGCCATCACCATGGCCCTCAGTGCAGTGTCTGCCTGAACAACCACGCTGCAGGGAAGTGGTGTGGCTTGGCCAAGTGACTCACATAGAAGACTGGGTTTTGAACTTGGTCATTGGTTTATGAACTGGGAAATCCAGCCAGTTTTTTGAACCTACCAGATCTTGGTTTCTTCAGTTCTTGCTCTGTCTGAGCCACGTGGTGGGTGCCAACAGTCTGTGCCAGTCGGAGTGGGAGGACTTCATACTGCTATACCAAGGAAGGGAAACCAGAAGATTAGAAAACTCTTGTTTCCAGTTAAATCAGACTCCTATATTCAGTCCTGAAATAACTGTCCTGCAGATGATGCCTCTTGCCACTTCCTCACTGCCTTCCCTTAGGGAAACAGACTTTCTTCCAGGGAAAAATGTGTCCCCTCTGCAGTGAAAGCAGCGACCGCCACTGAACGTGCCAGGCCTTGCTGTGGTGTTCTGCAGGTTCCCAGTGGCTTCTTCACTGGCACACAGGGATTGTTCCCAGTGGCTCATCCACTGGAACACAGGGGTTAACAGTGCTTTGGGTGGGCGGGTGGAAAGCAAGCTGTGAAATGGAAGAAGGTCAGGCTCCTGGAGGAGTTTGCTGTGTCGCAGATGGTTTTAAGTTATCCGCCCGTCTGTGGAGAGGTCTCCATTCCTCCCCTCCAAGAAAACTGTAAAACCAGGGCTGGAAATAAGGCAAAGCCTGATCAGGTTTGTGGCTTCAGTGGAACAGGCAGAGTGGTGGCTCTCCTGGTACTTGCTAGACCCAACTGTCTGTCTAATTAGGAATTCCTCAGTTATTCAGAACCCAGCACCTAAATGCCATTGGAGACTGAAAACCATAGGCACTTTTCTGTGGGGAACAAATGACTGGAAAGGGAGAAGAGGAACAGCAGGAATGCCTGTGGCTCTGGATGGCTCAGGCCCTTTGGGATAACTCTGCTCTTGCTGCAGTTGATGAGAGCTGAATTCAGGTTGCAGTGGAAGCCAAGAAATGCTTCCTCTTGGAACATTCCCATGGCCTTCACGAAGTGTCACTTGTCTTTAGGGACTTGTCGAGCAACTGGTTTTATTAATTTTAAGGCTACAGCAAACAGTCAATAAACTAACAAACTGCTGTCCTAGACCAGTAAGACCAAAGTCTGAGGAGGCCCCTTTGGAATGGTCATTGGCCAAAGCAGGTGGGGGAGGGTGTTGTGGGAATTCCACTAGGACACTGCTGGAAAACAGTGTCTGCTACTGAGAGGATTTTCCAGCAGCAGTCCAGATTTTCCAAATCCTTGTTGTCTGATTTTCTTGGCTCATCAACTTTCAAATTGTTTGGAATTGATTTTACTTTTATATCACTGCAAATGTCCCAGGGGATGTAGGACTGAAGGATCTTAGCCCAGGCTAAGATTGACATGGTTTTCTTATGAACTGGGAAGGTAGAAACACTGTCACCAGCAATAACAGTCAAAAAGAAATGAATAAAACGTCCCCAGAATTTAATTTTAACATTTATCTTTTAAATTGTTGATTGAAATTATAATTCCCAGCCCTGCAAGGAAGAAGTTTTTGATACCTGGTTGAGAATACTTTTTCTAAGACCAGTGGAAATGGTGCTCTTTGAGGTTATTCTTTGAGGTTTTTCTCCATGTTCCTTTCCTCACTAACCTGAGATTTTAAAATTATCATCTCCTAGTAGAAAACCAAAGGAAACCCTTGTTCTGGTTCTGCCAGCCCACACATTATGTGAACCATGGCCATCATGGTAAAAATACTACTCTGAAACCAGACCTTCCTCCCTGAGTTGAACATGAGGATTTAATGTGAGTATATTCACACAATCCAAATTAAAAACAATGGTTGTATGCTCTCAGCCAGAAGTGAACAAAAGTGGACTTCAGACTGAGGAGGTTTTGCTTCCAGCATGTGGTGCTGCTGGGAGAAGAGAGCCTTCAGTCCCAGACTGGCCATCACTTGATCATCAGGAACTAAACAGAGTTCCCTTTGCTTCTAGGGGAGCTTCCTGGGAAGAAGAAGGAAGGTTTACAAGTTGCAAAGGCAAACTGGTAGCAAAAGATTTGGGGGCACAATGTGCTGCACTTGCACTTCTAGGGTAAACCTGTCCATGGAAATCACAGGATGGTTTGGGTTGGAAGGCATCTTAAAGATCATCTAGCTCCAGCCCCCCTGCCCTGGGCAGGGAGCCTTCCACTAGTGGAATAAGTGGCTGCTCTCAGGAAAGGGATCAGGCTGTGGCTGTGTTGGAAGCCAAAATGAGCCAATATTGAGGTGTCTTTGGGCTGCAGCAGTGAAGATCCTTCAGGAGGAACTGGATTTCTTTCAGACCTCTTGGAACAGCACAAACTGAGAGACTCTAGTGATGAAGGTCAAACCCAGGCATGGCTGGACCAAACGCAAATGCAATAATCCACTGGTTTATATAATCTCTGCCAAGGGATTATGAGATCTCCTAAGAACTCATGGCCTCTGAGAACCCCTCTGGTGGTGTGTCCAACAGAACTGCGTGTACAGTTTGTCCTTCCCTTGGATCTGCACAAATGTTTGTCCTTTTTTGAGGCACAAGGTCTTGCATTTGGAGCTGCAGTGTTGCCTTGACTGATGGTCGCATCTGGCCAGGTTGGCCCAGTGCCGCCTCCTTGCCGTGCCAGAGGCTCCACGGCACCACCCCTGGGGCTGGGGGACTGTGGGGCTATAACGAGCCCCCTATGAGCACTCACAGCACAGTGTGGAGACATCCAGGAGATATCAGCAGCTACTGAGTGCAGTCTGAGCTTCTGGGACAGTGGAGAGGGACAAGAATTTGTGTCTGTTACCATTTAGTGACATTTGCAACAGGCTGATAAGGAACGTGTCTTCTTTCCTACAGATCACTAAATATCTGTGACCAAGGGACCTGTGGGGCAGCTATGAAGAGCTCTGCACTCTGAGCCACCAGACAAAGCCACCACGGTCCTAGGAGACACAGCAGCGACTTTGAGCAGGATCATCTCAGAACCTGTAAGGTAACAAGATGGTCGTGTCACCACTGAGATTCGTGTAGGGCTGATGCAGAGCTGGGAGCACAAAGTGCCACCTTCACTATCACAGTGGACATTGCTTTGCGTTGCAGGAGGTCTGAAAATGGTTGTGAATGTTGTGGCAGGAGGGGGTTCCTGTAGTGTTGGGCTCCTCTAGGGTTGGGCTCCTGTATCACTGGGCTCCTGTAGCATCCACTGATTTCCCAAGGAAGATGGCAGGCTGTTGAAGATCTCCTGTACCTGTCCCATGGAGCTGACACTGAACTCGTGGCGCAGGTACACTGAGGTTCCTAAAGGTTTTTATCTTGGATTCATCATTTCTTTGGACAGTAAGTAGGGAGGTGTTATTTTTCCTTCCTGACAGTAAAACTCTGTTGTATAAGCTCTGTGATACTCACTTTTCATCTACTGAGTGTGTGAAAGTGCATGTCTGTGTTACAAAAGGATTCCTGAGTGTGTTGTGGACACGGGAAGGAACAGACTGACCTGCTTCACCAGATGGGCACGAATTCATCGTCCTGCTCACCGCTGGCTTTCACCCCCTTAGAAAATACACATGGTGTGTGTTGCCTTTTGGCCTTTGGTATCATTGCCACTTTGCTAAATAAATGGGGGCAGAGTATCTGGTGTTTGTGTACACGGATCATGGGCAGAAGGAGCAATCACTTATGTTGTATTTGTAATCCCCGAGGCAGAAGAGAAGATCAGGGTGAGTATAGATTTACTGAAGGGATAAGTCACACAAAATCTGATCCCTGGGCATTCCTCCTCACTCTGCACAACACCTCCATTCATCACTGGAGAGTTTGTGACGTTCCCCCTCTGTGACCTCCTCAGAACTTTTCATGAATTTTCACTTCTGCTGTTGCTGCTCTTCAGTTCTGTAGTTCTAACCAGGGGCTTGGGGATTGTCCTTTAGAAATGTGCAATGGGAAGACTCAAGCTCAAAAAATTGCTTCAAGTTAACAAATAAACACAGAAAGCCCACCCAAAGCTAAAAGAGAAATTGTAGGTGAGAGATCCTTCTTCTCAGTGAGTATCTGGGTCTCTGGGATAAAGCACAGCTGGAATTTGGGACTGAGCACACAACAGGTTGGTGTTTTGTTTAGAACATTTGCTGTGTCAGGACTGCCTTGGTTTTTATGAATTTCAAAAAGAAACTCAAAGAGAGATACAAAGAGAAAAGGAGGTCAGAGGAGGTTTGGGTTGGATCTCAGGAAAAGGTTGATCCCTCGAGGGTGGTTGGCACTGAGCAGGCTCCCCAGGGTAGTGGGCACAGCACCAACGCAGCCAGAGCTCAAGGAGTGTATGGACAGGGTGGGATTGTTGGGCTGTCCTGTGCAGGGCCAGGGGTTGGACTGGATGATCCTCAGGGTCTCTTCCAGCTCAGGAGATTCTCTGATTTTATGATTCTATGATCCTATGCAATAGAATGCTGCATGTGTTGCTGATTCCTTCATTATTAATGCTGGTTTAGGCCTGTGTTAGTGGCTTTGTCCCCCACACGTGCTGTGTTTGTGCAGTGCCTGTGGCATATCCTGTGCCTCTGGACCCACCACATCCCTGTAAACCTCTCATTGCCCAGCATTTCCCTGCAGGTTTGTCTAATTTTGCTCACCAGTCCCTGCCAGCAATTATGTCACATCTTGTCTGTGTATTCCACTGTCTGAACCCCATAAATAACTCCTTGTGACACCACTAGTACCTACAAATCTTGTGACTCCCAAACGTTTTGCTTATTCACTCAGCTGATTTATGGCCCCAGCACTGGTGTCCGGTCAGGCTCACAGGGAAAGGGCTCTTGCTCTGGCTCATCCAGACAGACTGATGGACAGATAGGATGAAGGGTAGCCCTCCCACCCAAGGAGGAGTTGTTATAATCCAGGCAAGCTGGGTTATTCTGGTACATAAATATTGTCAGTAGCCAAGGGCTTGCTCTGGCTTTGCATCCAAAGCCGTGGAAGCTTTGCCACATCTCGGGTGGGGGACTCTGTGCAGCTGCAGAGCAGACATTCTGCCTGGGATGAGGAATGGCCAAGTCTTGGGTACCTGAACATGGCTAATGCACAACAGTGATGTGTTTTCCAGAGGAGTGAGAGTGTTGAGCTACTTCCAGTGTCTCCCTGTTGTGCTGATGTGTTGGTCAACAGCACTCACCTGGGAAGGGGTGATTCCCCCTGGGAAGCATTTACCTGTCTCCATTGAATAAATCATCCTAATGTGGACACCAAAGTTTCAAGCATCTCTGAGTGAAGACATGAATTACACTATGACCATTTTTGCTGTCTCATTCTAAAAATCCTGTGATTTCTTTTTCTAGATTGAACTGAAGTCAAAGCACAAACATGGGTATTCATGTAACAAGGGAGTAGAAATTTTAAAAGTAAGAAGGGCAGGGTTTGATGAGTCTGTGCCAACCTATGTGTTATTTTCTGGTCCTTATTTCACACACAAGACACCAGAAAATGTGATGTGGTTGGATTAATTACACTGAAGGAATGTTCCCTTGCATGCCCTGGCACTGTTATTTTAACTGTGCAATCAATGTGTGGCATTAACATGCTTCATTCTCATTCTCCAGAAGTCAGGAATTCACAGCAGTTTAAGGACTCACAGCAGCTTATCTTTAATCCAAGTGAATTTCTGAAATATTTAAGACCCTATAAACTCAGCCGTTTATACATAGTGCACATAGTGCATGTTGTGCACTGATAGATGCAGACATGTGCCAAATATTGTTAATATTTGGGCTTTTTACAAAACCAGATTTGAATGTAGCCATTTGTCAATTGGTTTGAACTATGTTAACATATATCCACAGTCCCACAGGGCTGAGAACAACAGTCTGGTTTGAAACATTTGGTAATTTAAGATAACAATAAGTTTCTTGATGGCTTTGGACCTGAGAATTTGGACCACGTTCATGTTTCATTGTAGATGCTTGTCACCATTGCCTAGTGGGGAGGGGAAGAAGTTGGGAGTAGCGAAGAATAAATGTAAGTGCAACATAACTAGAGCTTAGAGAAAGCTGCTGCGGGCTGGTGTCAGGTAATCCTGTTTGGTGAACGTTGGAAGCATCAGGCATTCCAGCTCCAGGAGTGGTGACATGTTTAGGTGACAAGGGAGATACAAGAGGCAATAGGGGATTATAATGTTTGCTGGGAGGACGAATTAAATCCATCAGAAGAGGGTGACCAAGAGCCTCTCAAAATCTCAGCCATTCACTGTGCAAAGCTCTGCCCGGGGCAGGGCAGGGTGCCCTGGAATCAGTTTCTTTTCATCTGAGTTTTGTGTTTTTCCCTGACACAAGCTGTTCATTCCCTTCATTTGCGAGTTCTAAAACATCTCCCAAAGATTTACAGAAGCAACTGTAAAACCCTGTTTACAAGGGTCTGCAGAAGGAACTGCCAAAACAGCAGCACACAAGTGAGATGTGGAGCTCTTGTTGTGGTGGGGAGAGCAGGAGTCACCCACAGCAGGCCAGGGAGGGGAGGGAGAAGGGGGGACAGGGTCTGGCTGGTGCTCACGCAGCCCCGTGATCATCTCCCATGTCTGTTGTCTCAGTGCATTTCCACTGAGGTCAGTGAGTCTCAAGAGTAATATTAATTACTGATGAGATCTGTATAGTGCGCAGAGCCCCAAAATAAGACTTTATTTTAAGGCAACAGTGGAGCCAGTGAGTTGTTGTGGGAAGGTGCCTATGGCTCTTTGCAACTGCTGAGTAATGGAAAATCAAATTTTGGTTCAGAATTTGACCCAGAGTGATACTGTGAGTGACACTTTCTTTGGCCTGTCTATGAGGCACACAGCACACATTATTTTTAGGAGTTTAGTTGATTTTACCTTTAGCTGAGAGAAAGTTTCACACAGGTAATGCAGCTCGGAGCTGAGTGTATAACAGGGAGGTGTTGGGGTCATACCCTGTGTTTTCGCCATGTGCCTGTGACACTTCTCAGCTGGCTGAATGTCTGATGTAGGTGTACTCCCAAAGTTCCCATGCCTTTTAAAACTGATGGAAGTTGCATGTTCTTGTGTGCCTCTCTTGACTGAGGGAGTGCGGAGGGTAAACAAAGAGCAGCATCAATCCCACAGGGGAATCTAATCTGACTGGTCTGCAGAGCTGCAGTAACTCTATAGTTTCTGAGCATCTCTCATGTGACAAGGAATCTGCCTTCCCAGTTTGCCTTCAGGACACGGATGTGTTACATTACACATTGTCCAGTTTAAAATACAAGGAAAGAGACACCTTTTGCTGAAGGTCACACAAGTGATCCATAACAATAACTACTGAATGCCCAGCTCACACTTCACCATTTCCTTCTAAAGTCTTCTCGTCTGCTCTCAGGTCTGTTGCTAATTTAAACAAGCTAATTTAGATCAGGATGTGCTTCTGCTTCATGTCCCAGTTTAGGCATCCATTTCTGTGGCTTTCTTCTCAGCAACTGCTCTTGCCATCCATCAGAACTCACCATGTGAGTGCCATGTGATGTAATATTTGCCTGAAACACGAGAGGAGGTGTTTGGAGGAAAGCCAGGTGTCATGGACAGGGAAGGGGTGACAGAGGGATGCTGTTGGATGTGTACATTTCCCATTCAGCCCTTCTAGTCGTTCTCCTACCCAGTTTGTGTCGGTTCAGAACCGTGCTGTGATGTGTTCTGAGAAGACACGTTGATTGGCGGGTCTGTCTCAACTTGGCTGCGAGTGAGGAAGGGCAAATTGTGCCACTAAAGTGAGCAGTGTTAAGGTCTGTCACTTCCCTTGTGAACTGTAAATAATGAAATGATTTGTCCTTTTCCCAGGAGAACCCCCAATCTGTTTGTGGTGATCACAGAAAGCTGAGCAGGGCATCATGACCAGCCACCAGACAGGTGAGAGAACAGACACAGCTCTGGCAACTCCCTGCGGTTCCCCTGGGAATAACCCCAGCTTGCTTGTCTGGTTTGGGAGTGTCTGTCCCACCCCCTCAAGGAGGGACACCAGGAAATGACCCAGCAGGTGCTGCTGACCTTGGCAAGAGGGTCTTTGTCCTGCCAGATTTGGAGTGTTATCTGGAACAATGACTGATGCAAAGCTTTCCCCTGTCCAAACCATCCCCAGAGCTGTGAGCAGAGGTGACTCTGGATTAGGATCCTCGATGCAGATTTTCCCACTTGGACACTAGTTTTCCAAAGCCAAGCCCTTAATGCACCAGCCTTGGGACACACCTTCCAGCTTGTTGTACTGGAATGGATGGGACCTTTGTAGTCCAAGAGGGGCTGAGCAGGAGCAGTTGCTTCTCTGCAGGCTGAGAAATTGTTTCTGAAGAACAAATATTAATTAAACGTATTTTTTCTTGCCTTTCTAGCAAAAACTTTCAAGAAATCTGCCATCCCAGGGGTTCTTATCACCCAGTTTGTGAATGATGTTCCAAAAGGATGCAGTACACCTGACTTTGAGAGGAAACCTCTCACTCTGACACTGCAGGAAGGTGAGATTCTTGAAAGACAGGCAAAGCCACAGACCTGGAGGCTTGACTCCACCTCTCACCTACATGGAACAATGAACATAATTAAATCAAACTAGTTTCTAAAGTGATTTGACATGACCAGAAAAAAAGTGTTATGTGGCCAAAGTCTTTGTTACACTGGTGAAAATTCCATCAGTACTAACAGAGGACTCCTTGCATATGCAAGACCAAAATCTGGCCCCTAAAGTGGGCAACAAATCCTGTGAATTCTGCACGAAGCTCTCAAAGTAAGTATTTTGCAGCAAAAGATGAAGCCCATTGAAAAATTTGGGGGTTTTGTTTGTTTGTTTGTTTGTTTGTTTTTTTCCTGTTGAACTAACTTGTATTATGAGTGTTCAGCACTAAAATTAAGTGCTTTTTAAAGTAAGATATTCTGACTGCAGGTGCTATTTAGGCTACAGCAGCTTTCCCATGCCTAATGGGGCTCCAGGAGGGCTGGATAAGGTTTGGAGTGACAGGACAAGGGAATGGCTTCCCACTGCCAGAGGGCAGGGTTAGATGGGATATTGGGAAGGAATTCTTCCCTGGGAGGGTGGGCAGGCCCTGGCACAGGTTGCCCAGAGAAGCTGTGGCTGCCCCATCCCTGGAAGTGTCCAAGGCCAGGTTGGAGGGGGCTTGGAGCAACCTGGGCTGGTGGAAGGTGTCCCTGCCCATGGCAGGGGTGAATGGGATGAGCTTTGAGATCCCCAACCATTCTGTGGTTCTATGATAATTCCATGTGTTGTTTAAGGAGCAACAGGGATCTTTGCACAGGGAAAGCAGCTGATGAGTCAAGACTGAACATCAATGAAAAGCCTCCCAGTGGTCTCTCTGCACTTGCAGAGACTGATCTCTCTCTCTCTCTCACTATCTATATATATATTTGGAGTGGAACGACCTGAGGAGATCATGTAGCTCCTCTTCCCTCCCAATACTGAACTGTGGATTCAGTGTTTCTCACTCATCTGTTAATTTTCACAAGCCATTGAGATTTAATGAAGGAGCACAGTGGCCTCTAGTGGAACCTCTCCTCTCCTCCTCCTCCACCTTGGAGTTTCAGGAATGAACCAAGGCCCCTGACTAAATTTTCACCTGTCTTAAATTTTTACCTGCCTGAATTTTCACCTGTCTGAATTTTCCAAGTTATTTCATTTGCAGCAGGTGTCTCATAGTTCCTGTACAAAATGTTTGGGCATTCAAACTGGTCACTGTAAACTGAATTCTTTGCAGAGTCACCATGAGTATCTTCATTTACATCATCACCACCTCATTGTGTTCAGTGCATGGGGGAGCTGACTCCCTCAGCTGTGGAGCTGTGACCTGTGACAGATGACAAGCAAAAGTGCAGCCAAAATGGCTAAAATATGACATAGGGACAATAAATTTACAATAAACTTTAACAATAGTACTCTGATCTCAAAGGCTGGAAAATGCTTTTTGATAAGAATCCCTCAGTCCACAGAAGAAGTTGTTGGTGGTGACTGAAGAAGGGTATGGGAAATACTGCAAGGCTTTCTGGGGACAATTTTTAACAGTGTTGGACACCTGGAGACCAAAACTATTGCAAAAGGAAGACAATAATCATTTCCATCCTGAGCTTTATCCATGGATAACTCACCTCCATTTCTATTCCACTTAATGACGAGTCACTTCTCTGACTTGTTGTTCCCCAGTGTTTCCTATGTTTTTGAAGCCTTTTGGAAGCAGAGGTTTGTAGTAGGCAGTGGGGAAGCTGTTGGAGATTTCTGTGTGCTCAGAAACCCCAGGTTTTAGGGGAGCAGGGAGGAAGGAGCTGAAGCCCATCCTCTCCTCCTTTCCTTGCCTCTTCAAATGGCAGAGCCTGGTGTGTTCAGGGTGCAAGGTGGTGTCAGGTCAGCAGACAAAGCACTGTAGTCTGAAAGAACGGAGAAGCAATGGGATTTTATAGGGATTATATGTTTGATGAGAATAGATTTAGGTTGTCAGACAGTGGTACAAGCTGCCAAAGGCAGGTCAAGGCTGAACTTGCTGTAGGGCTGCAGAGATGATCAGAGATGTCAGCAACCACATCTGGCAGGGTAGCACCACATTTTAAAGGCCTTTTATGATTCAATACAGGCAAACCCTGAATTACTGATTGCAAAATAAAAGCCATCATTATTTTTGAAGAATGTTTCTGCCCCAAAACAACAGCTGATGGCTCACTCTGGAGATCAATCTATTGATAACATAAGGGGCCTGGTATAAGAGTTCAAGATTGTTCATGTTCAAGACCATCTTAGCTCATTTCTTGCCTCTTTTCAAAGGTAAAAATGCCATTTTCAGAGCTGTGGTCAAAGGTGTCCCAACCCCAGAGGTGAAATGGTCACGGGCACGAAAAGGGATGGACGATCCTGCCAAATACGAAATGTCCTTCAATAGTGCTACAAATGAATTCATTCTGCAGGTAAAGATCAAATATTCCGGAAAGACTTGTGGCATGGAGAGAGAAATGGGGAGGAAAAATCTGCAATGGACTGAGAGACAGAGGAGGGGCAGGACTGAGCTCTGCTCTGGGGGGAGCAGGGACAGCCCCCAGGGAATGGCTGGAGCTGTGTCAGGGCAGGCTCAGGGTGGATCTCAGGGAAAGGTTCTTCCCCCAGAGGGTGGTTGGCACTGAACAGGCTCCCCAGGGCAGTGGGCACAGCCCCAAGGCTGCCAGAGCTGCAGGAGGGTTTGGATGATGCTCTGGGGCACAGGGGGTGACTCTTGGGGATGGGCCTGTGC